TTGCTATGATCCTATGATACTGGGTATGTACATATTCAAAAATGGTTATTAAATATCTGGAAATACTGGTAATAATATCTATCATATAACAGATACTTGGTGAGGTGAACAGAACAAGTAGGTGGTTTCAGGTGATCACATTTGGCACCCAACTTCCACTGCTTGGGATCAGGACTTGGGCTTTTATATTTCTCTGCTTTGCTAATTTCTAATAGAGCATGTTCCGGGTAGATCAGCCATGATTTTACTTGCTCTCAGAAAGTTTGTTTCAACGGGGAAGCAATTCTCATGTGTTGTAGATAAAAATCACATGGGCAAGAGCACCTTGGTGTTGAGTCTCAGGTCATGAGAGACACGGAATATTAACCTGGATTTACAAAGAGGGGTTATATGGATTCTGGCCAACTCTAATGCACAGAATCACAGAATCACAGAATTTCTAGGTTGGAAGAGACCTCAAGATCATCGAGTCCGGTGTTGCACCTACCAGTGGAAGAGATACCCAGGGATTGCAGGGATTAGTAACAGACCACGGAGACTTCACATGTGCAACTGCTTCCTTTACATGCAACCTGAGTCACATCTTTAGCATGGTTTGTGCCAACTGACTTTGCTTTTCTGCTCCTGGAGAGTAAGAAAACAATTCTGCCTGCAAGGAATTTTGCTTCAATAGAAGTATGTGCAACTTAAAGCCATCTCCTACCTAGGCTTTACTGAATGTGCATGTTAAACTTGATTTTTAAAATAAATTGAAGCACTGCCATAATGGTTTGCCTAAAGCTAGCAATTGCTTTTATGTAACTTACAGCTCCATGATCAGCCTCAGTGGAGAACTTACACATCTGCAGATGACTTACATGGGAGCCTTGTAAAAGCTTCCACAAAAGCCAGTAACTACTCTAAATGTTTCCCCTAGAGGAAGAATTATCTAAAGAAATATTTAAAGGAATAGGGAGATTCAGACTCCCACAGAGAGATAATTTTGTCTCTCATTTCCAAATGAAAAAGAGGATTCAGGACTCCGGGGTTCTGCTGGAAACCCTGCCACCGACTCGGTCAGTCTTAACCTCTTGACATTTTGGCTGTACAAACAAAACGAACGCACCACGCAAGAGATGAAAACGCCTGCAAAGCACTTCATACTGTTTCAGACACTACGTCACCATAAAATAGTTGAAACGCAAGGACCAGAACCACAGGTGATGCCTCTGAAGCTAAACTTGTCCTTGAATGGGAAAAATCCAATTGATCAGCCAAGCCTGCGCCTTAATGGATTTTGATCGCTGGAAGCCAGCCTGAAAAGACAACTAATTTGTTTACACTAATAAATAATAACATCTACTTGCTATCATAGCATGCACCCACTCACTACTGGTGAGCCATTTAAATGCCACTCACTGTGACCATTCTTCTTCTTAATACCCAGTAATTTGACGGGAAGAAAACATGCCAAAGCCACCAGCGACATCTCCTTGGAAAGTCACAGGCGAGCGACTTTGTGTGCAGGGTAAGCGGTGTGGGCGATGGGGTAATTAGCTCCAGCAAGTCATTATCCTGCAAACAGCTGCACGCTCTGACTTCTGAAGGAGTTGTTTTGTTTTGTTTTTTTTTTTTGCTGGGTTTTCAGCCGCTGGAACACTGCCAGAAAGCTCTCGTGCCCGTCATCTGAGCAATTCTGTGCTAAAAAACAACGGTCGTGCTGATGTTTTGAGGGAAAATCCCACTCTGCTGGTCCAGAGTTTTATGATAGAAGCAACGTGCACTTTTTTTTGGATGGAGACGAGGTACCACACGTCCAAGGCCACTGCTAATAGCGCCCACCTAGCTGGAAAGATTTATCACTTCGACACGAACCGTACAAGAACAGGCTAGAGGAAGCTGTCGAGCTGCTTGTAGCCTAATTTGGTATTGATTTAAACAATTACAGCATAAAGTTTAATGTGGAATAATTCTGAAACAAATTAGTTTCATGGTTATTCAGTCCCTCTTAAAAGGAGACGGATTTACAATATTTTACGTGTAAAGCTGGAAGAATGGAAAATAAAGCAATCCTCCTCTTTAACTGTAATATTTACAACGGGCAGCTGAATTCTTTTTTTGGGGGGCATAATCTTTAAAGAACTGGATTTGTCTGTGAGGACACAATGGCAGAGGATGCTAGAAAACCTCTCATCTCTAAGCTAATTCAGTTCAAACATGTGCTGATAGTTATCAAAAAGCAGCTATTATCAGCCTGTGCAGTGGGAACTGATAAATCCTTGCAGCCGTGTTCAAATCACAGCTCCAGCTCCTGTTGCAGAAGCTTCTGAAAGATCTTCAGGATAGAAAGGAGTGGGATGGCTGAACCATGAACCGCTCCACGAACAACACGAGGAAGGAAAAAGTAACACAGCCCTGGGAGAGAGGTGCAAGGATCATTCACGCTACACACTATATTTTCATTGTACCCATGATGCGATGAGGGCAAAGATTTCAGGCTCCAGCACTGTCAATGTAGAAATAGCCCTTTTTCTTTTAATGTAAAATCAATAAAATTATTTTAGGGAGCTATTTGGATGACTTGGTTCAAAGAGGCAGCAATTTTTCTTCTCTTTCACAAAATTACCCTTCTATAATGTCGGGAACAGGCAGACCTTCTGACCATGTACATTTTGACCAAGAATAATTCCAGTTCAAAATGATTTCCATCCATCATGAGAAATAAATTATAGGGACCGGACGAGAAAATTCCAACCCATTCTGTCTCTTCAACCCCAAATGAACTTTAAGAAAATGTATTGATATAACACATTGTCATTGGCTACCAACGAAGCTACAGTCCACAGAAATACATTATTGCATTTAGAAGCCAAAACAAATTTGTAAGGTTAACAGCCCTCATGGTCCTGCTCCAAAGCTTACACGCTAATATTACTGTAAAATACTTTCAGCTCTCAGTAAGGTCAGACGCCTGCGCAGGCTGAGTTCAGGCTCTCACCCGCTTTGATGCTCAGAAGACAAAACAAAAGAAAGGCAAACAACACACAGCACAGCGCAATACACCTAATTATTTCTATTATCCCAACATTAACTTTAAGCAACTTCCACAATGGAGCCTTCAAACTATGAACAAGCACAGTTTTGCTTTTTATTCTAACTCACAGTTTCAATCTTTAGATAGTTTTCTTGTTGCAGAAGCCAGAACTGCCCTAAAATTTATTTATTTTTTCTACCCCGTTCTGAAAATCAAGGTTTGGAAGACTTCTACAAGTGTCACAGATTTGGCCGATTTCTCTTCTTCTAGGCACTTGCAGTAGTGAGGGATTACTAGCACTGCAGATAACTGCAAAACAAGGGTGTATTTTGTCATTTCTTCCCCACTCTGCTGTGCCTCTGCTATTCCTGCCCAGCCAGCGCATTTGAGTTCCTGATCTATAAAACTCCTTCTGTTCTCATTAAAGTTGTTTTCAATACTCGGCTGTTGTTTCATAACCACTCCTGCTGCGATTTTACTATAACATCTTACACCTGATTGGCAATACTTTTGCAGTGCCAAGGGAAAAAAAAAGACAAATGTCATCAAATCCATCTTCAGCTCACAAGAGGGCTCAACATGAGACATCCAGCCATAAACTGCTCTCGTTGCAATGCCCTGTTGCAAACTTACATTGTGCATGCTCAGTGAACGGCGAGGCTGAAACAATTTTTATGTTGGTTTTTCTTTACAATGGGTTTTATTCATCCACTTCTCAGTTTTGATAGTGGAGTTTGAGAACGCTGTCAAAGCTGTATCTTGGGAAGAAACTAGTCCAGGGATGCTGTGCCTGCTCCAAGACATCATTTTAATTCGTGGAGATTTTCTAAACCATGTAGAGAAGATTCTGGCTCCCTTCTAAGGATCCCATTCCCCTCTAAAGACTTCTGAAAACTCTCAGAAGGAATCTAATTTTGCTTTGCCTCTGAAAGAACCATCCTATACCCATCCCCAAAGCATCCAGATAGGCACAGCTTTAGCAACCATTAATAAATGCAGAAAACCTAGGGACTTCTCCCAAATAATAACACTAACAACAGCTATTACTGTTATTAGATATCATTAAAATATGCACATATTTTAATGATATAAACTAAGGTGGAGAGCAGCTGTACAAATCTTAGGAGATGCACTAAGTTTCTTAAGAACATTGTAAATATTATCGATCCCCGAGGAGACGATTTTATAGATAAGAGGGAATTATTTAAAAGGATTAAAAGAGCTTGACCCAAATCACAGCAAGAGTCGGAGCTGACAGTTAATTCATTCCTTTCAGTCCCATGCAACAAGTATAATAAAAGAATATTTTTGTGAGGCTTCTGAACTGTCCTGTTACCCATGTAGTTAGGCTGAGAAGTGTGTTTATTGCTATTATCACTGCTCCACATCAGAGCTTTAAAATCTGTTTCATAAGAGACCTCTCATATAAATACTCTTGACTTCAAAGCTGAATATCTCAAATCTCTCTTATCTGGCTGAGGAAGCAATACAGCTGCCTCGCTGCACCAGCACCACATAAATCACAAACACACTGCGCTTGGGAGGCAGCAAAACCTCATCTCTGCTCCTCCCTGGTAGTTTGCCATGTGTGTTTAGTCCAATTGCACAGCTCTGTGATTTGTGAGCATCCCCAGAAGTTCTAAGGGAGACACACATCATCAAAAACCTTGAAAATTAGCTTTTTTTGTAGGGCTCTAAGGCTGGTAACGAGTCATCATGATGGCAGCCAGGTGCTTTAATAATGGGATGTGTCAGGCAAGATGTAAGGATTCCATTAGTCGCATATTTGGCATATTTATCAAGAGAGACACACGCACCTACGCACCTGTGTGTAGAGACTGGAAAAGGAAAGACTATGTATATTAGAAGTAACACTGCAAGAGACTGCAGTTAACATTAATAGACACATTTTGTGTGTTCACGTCAGATACGCAACTGGGTCGTGTTTAGATGGACAGGAAGAGATCACTCAGATCTCAGTTCCTACCTGCAGGAGAGGCCTCTGCACCCCTAGGATCTTCATGGTATCTGCGTTAGCCAGGATCTTGAGGGGATCGGATGCCTTCGTGACTCCTTCGATTTCCTTGTTGATCTCAGCCAGGACCTGATTGAGGAAGATGTTCTTGATGTACATGGTGAGGAACTCACGGAGCGGGCACTGTTTGGCCGGGCCGAGCTCCATGGCGTGCTCTATCTCCTTGATAAATCTGGAAAACACAAAAGGAAGAACACAATGTGGTTCAATCACATAGTTAAATGTGTTCGTGTTGCATTTCCAATCCCTACATCTGAAAGCCAAGCACTGGCAGTGGGGGAGACAAGGCAGATCATGATGTGAGGCGTGAGGTGTAGAAAAGATTTATAAGGTGGCCATCAAAATATCCATAAAACGCCAACAGCTGGTGAGACAGACTTGATGGCTGGAGAAGGAGAACCGACAAAATCAAGAACTGGTGAGAATCCACACCCTACACATGATTCCTGTTTACCCGTTCAAAAATCACTGACTTTGCTCTACTTGAGACATACTGGAAAGACCTCTTCTTTTAAAATAACCCCCCCAAAATAATCAGGATGTCAGAAATCACTTTGAAAAGGCAAACTTCCTTCTGGGGTTGGTCACTCAATTCCCACAGGTGAGTTCTCCATCTCTAAAATGAACATATTCTAGTTCGAAGTCTAGAGATACCACGAAAAAAAAAAGAAGCAATGCAATGTATATTATGCCACTGTCATACTGCATTATGTCTGTCTGTATTATGCTTTATTTTTATTATGCGTTATTGTTCCATTCTAGGATCCCATTCCTGCGTGTGCAGAGCAGCAAACCGATTCCGGGAATATTTTAGCACAAAACGTTTGCCATCTCCTCCTGCAAAATATCTTTATCTCAGTGATGCCATCTGTTTACCAGCTAGGAGTTTCTTCTAGAAACTACCCCATCAGGTCTTTCACTTACATTTGAGGCAACAAAATAAGTCTCCCCTTCAAATTTGTATCTATTTAACTAATTAGGGATTGACTATCAGTGGTCTTAACAGACTGAGATATTCTGAGATAAACATGGATGGTAATTTTATTGTCTTTGTCATCACTGCATGCATGTGCCTTGCTCTCTGTTATATTTTAATTCCCCTTCTGGAGGGGCTGGGATTGTTTTCATCTTTGATTTACAGATCAGTAGCAGAAGCAAGCGTTTGAACCTGGATGTCCCAATGTACGTGGCATCACCCTCTGCACCCTGAAAGCCACCTCTTCTTCACTGCAGCCGATTTTTTTCCGTCGATCGAGACATTTCTAACAGTTTCAGAGTGGCTAGCATTTACTAGGGATGACCTCGCTAAGTCATTAACTTAGGGATGACTTTTGGGGAATAACCATATCCCCCCAAACTTCAACGAGTTCTGTTTTATTGCCTGTAAGTTTTCAGCCTCCACGTTCAGCATTCCAGAGGCAGCTTCCCTTCAAAGGACTGACTCCAGAGCCCCTGTCAAATGCAGCAGCACGATTTCTTTCAAATCTAAACAATTTGCTCCCTAAAGCCTCTGCGGTGTTGACTCCATCAGTCCGGAGCGACGCATTTTGGCGACGCAGATATTGCTTCGGCAGAGGGACCCTTCGCATGAAGTCCGAAAACCGCCTCTCCAAGCGGAGATGCTGCATGGGGAGAAGTGCAGAGGACGGCAGTTTTACTCCTTGGCTTTCACAGATCGATAATGTGACTAGGCTTTATCAAACGGGGAAGCTGTGGAGTCATTTGGGAAGGGAGCAGAGCGACCACCCCTGAGCTTCTCTCTGAAATAATAGGACTAATGTCACCAGCTCTGGGTGACAAACGCTGATGCTCTTAAGGGACTGCTGTCACGGCTGATGGAGCCACATTAAACTGACTTGCTGCATTTTTTTTCCGTGTCTGCCAACAAATTTGTAATATACTCCAATTTCTTCATAACCTGATTTACACTGCGCTTTTGATGCACAGAACTCATAAAAAAAAAAGTGAATTAACTCTTATAATACCTGCACCACGTAGCTGAATACCACCGTGTCTCTTTCAGATGGGAAAGGCGAGACAAAGCAACCTGAATTTGAAATAAGCAACTTGCAATAAAGTGAAGGGAACAGCTCGCCGTTCTATAATCCTTTAAAATGCTTAAAAATGGCTAAGCCAACACAAATGCAAAGCAACTTTTAGAGGGAGAACGGACACATACAAACTTCCAGCAAACTAGAAGAGCTCGGATGTGCTGACCTACGGTAAACTCCTTATCCCGTAATAGCTTGATGGAGTTTCTAAGTGTTTCCCACAGCAGAGAGTGAATTGCTTGCACGAGGCCGTAGGAAAGGTCAGTGCTACCAAGAGGTGTAATTAAGAACTTTGGGCTCCCAGTACCTGGCATTAATCACCAGCTCAGATCTCTCCTAAAAACCCACGCTTCGATCTCCAGCAAACTTTATCTTCATTAGAAAACCGAATTCCTGGTGGTTGACGTGCTCTAACAGGCTTTAATTTCTCGGCGTAAACAAGACAACCGTGGTTCGCTTCGTACTGGTAAGGATCAAAAAATACATCCTTATTTCACTTGGTACAAACCATGAAGTAATCACAGATTAGGAGAAAGCTACTAGATGGCAATGACTCTGCAAGAGGGGATTTTATGAGTGCTCAGCAACACTTGTGATAAAGAACAAATGGTCAAGAGCTTAGGAAAGCAGATTTCAACTTGATAACAGGAAAAAGTTATTAAGAATGAAGCTGTGCATGGCACAGAGGACAAGAGGATATGGGTGAGAGACCTTCAGTTTGAATGTTCAAGGATAGCTCGATTCAATGATAATGGTAATGAAAAACAGACACTTTCTGAGGTCTTCATTTAATCAAAAGATCTCCAAAGAAGAAAATGGACGGAGAGAAAAGGTAAAGAAAAGCATATGGATGTCTGAGCATCTCCTGCAGTGGGGAAGAGCCCTAAAAATTCAGAGATTTCATACTCTAGTGGTACGACTACATTACCACTTAGCACAGCATAAAAGAAGGAGGAGGATGGGGTCCTATCTGCTGTGACAAGCTGCAGTTGAAGGACGACCTGAACTCATCACATCTTCACCACCCACGAGTCGTAACTGCAGGAGGTCCCAGTGGACGCAGCACTCGAGGCAGCAACTGCTCAGCTCCAACCTGCACCCTGCCAAGGGGAAAAACCCCTTTGAGCACATTACCAGGATGGCTGAGCAAGATATAAATACATAAAAAAAGATATAAATATCCAAATATAAATGAACAGATTTGCACCAAGAATCCTCCTACCACTTTACACTGCAGCAGTGATTCACTGTGTGTGTTCTGCATTGGCAGGATTATACAGACTGCCATCAGAAATAGATTATTTATTGGAAAACGTTGATTTGATGTATTTCTTAAGAGAATTAAGGATGCGAAATCGAACACTGAAGAGTCTGGGAAAGAAAGGATTGGAGTGACTTGTGTCACCCTATTTTGGCCTGGTGTGCATGATATTGTGGTATAATTACAAATTACATAGTGGCACACTACTGCTCTCATCAGCAGATCCTTGTCTTGTTTCAGGAACCCGAAGGTCTGTGTTCAATAGGGGAATATCACCGGGTTCGGACTCTGCAGCCCTTTACTGCATGGCTGGAGCAACACAGCAGCAAATCTCTGTGATGTGAAACAAGAAACTTCTGCTGCTGAGTCCCACCAAGCTGTTGGCACCGAGCTTCGTTCTTCTTCCCTCTCATTTCTTCAGGATACTCCTGCTTCTGTGAACTTGGCCACCAGTTCTCTTATTCTCCTGAATCCCAAAACCACTACATTTCTATATTTCTCCTCTCTTCTTGGCACTTAGAGCAGACAACACCCTCCTCTGGGCAGCAGGAGCCCTGCAGGTATGGGAGCCCAAAAATCCTGGCGCCCTTGGCTCAGAACCTGGACCTTTGCAAGGTCCTTGCCCTTAGTTCGGTCCTTTTCCGACACAGCAGAGCTGTGCCCATCCAGAAGCTTAGCCATCATGAACTACAAGCTTTTGACAAGGGTGTGAGCACTGCACTTCTCCAAAATTGTGTAACTCAGCCAAATTTTGGTGTGCTTTCAGAGGAACGGCGAAAGGCCCAACCTTTACACACGAGCTCTTCCTGAGAAATGCGAAGATGCGAATTCCCAGCCTGAAGATTTTCCAAAGAAAAGGTCACCAGAATTTGCTAACATGTGCAGTGTATTTCTTCTCTTTCTCAGAAAGAGTAAGTATTTTAGAGATTTTTTTTTTCTAAAATTAAATCTAGCCCCAGTTGGCGATTAAAGACCAGCCAAATTACAAGAAAGTGAAGTTTTATAAATGGGAAGCATTGGGTGGCATTAAAGACCTAACAGATACTCTCTATTTTCTGCTCGCAGACACATTCACAGTCACACGCGGTGTTATTTATTTATTTAAAATTCAAATACTTCTGGTTAACTTATCCTAACATAATTTAATCTTCATAAAGAAAAAATAATGTTTAAGAGCCAGAATCTAAGAAAAATATCCTAAAAGTACTTCCCATAAATGCTTCCATTTATTCACACACATTTGCCAATTAACTATTAAGATGTCAGAAAAGCAATTTGACCCATGGCTATCCCAGAGATCAACGTTTATGTCCGTGTGTGAACCAGCATACCTGATACAGAATCACACTTTGGTCGACGATACTCTTGGAAAGAGTGAATAAAAATAAAAGAGGTGAAACCTTCTTAGCATTTTCATGAAGTGGAGCACCAAGGGAGGTAGATCTGGACACACAATGCATGCATGGCTCTTCAAATGGGTTTTGGACGTATCTGCACATGCATCAAACCAAATGACCATGAAAACCTCACCACGATGGTGAAAGGCTGTCTCACGCAGGACTTTTATCCCCTACTCCTTTCTTTTTACTCTCCAAAGAGTGAAATTTGAGATAAAGCTCCCTGTAAAAACAAGCCATAAAGAAGGCCTTGGAGGAACAGCTTTATTCACATTTCATTTGCTTCGATGATTCTGCTAGAAAAAGAACCATTCAGTTGTAATATAGTGGGGTTTCTGAAACAGTATCAACAACTGCATTTAAAATCATCTCTCACCGGCACATGAAAACTGAAAAAAAGCCCATAAAGGTTAACACACTGTGCGGGTATATTCTCTAAATGCCTGAGAATGAACCACGTGGC